GAGGAGGGGAGGGCGAGGGGGAGGGAGAGGGAGAAGGAAGAGTTTCCTGGGGAATCTGTGCCACATATTTTTTCATTCCAAGACCCAGCCTGAAGGAACAGTTCCTACTTCAGATAGATTTTTAAAACTAGGAGACACTGGCAGAACCTTGCAAAGACTCTTGGAGCTTCTAACTACATCATGTCCACTCACATACCATTGGCTAAAGCGAGTCACATGGCCAAGTCCAGCGTCAAGGAACATGCTGCATCCTTTTCCTGACCATTTGGGAGCAATGACAAAACTCACTGCAAGGCCTAGGTTACCAAGTGGATGTCGGTGCCATGGGTTAAGCTAGTAAAGAAAAGTGGGGAGGGGAAAGAAGAATAGGGAGCAGCATGTTTTCTGGGTGCCAGCCACAATTGTCCCTTCATCTTTTGTCATCTGAGAGTCCAGCAGGGGCTTGGATCAAATGTTGATTGAAAGAGTGGGACATGGACCCACCTGGATGTGTTGTGTCAGAGACAGCATTCCTGGTGGTTAGACTGTTCTAGAACAGGCAAAACAGGTATTTCAGGGACCTGAGGGCATCCAGGTCAACTTCCTCCAAGAAGAAATCTGGTAATGTGAGCCCTTCTGCTTTATTGGTCCACTCATTTCAGTCCAACTGCTGAGTTCTTAGGTTGAACCAGGCCCCCTCTTCTTTAGCCTCTATTCTCTACAAAAGGGTCAGGTCTCCAGGACCTCTGAGGAGGTCAAGTGCTAGTTCTCTGCCTTCCTTAGAAGAGATCAAAAAATGGTTCCATGGTTGAACAATGGCCTGACCATCTGCGAGATGTTAACTGCATAATGGAATGGAACTCGAAGGGCTTTTAAAAACAGGAAGAGAGATTTTATTGTAGCTAATCATGATGGATGGTGAGTGTGGTCACATTTGAGACATAAATCTTCATGCCAAGCCCAGGACTAAAGAGCCAATGAACTCCACAGTTCAGAGAGCCTTGTTCTCAGCCATGGGCAAGTCACATGGGAAAGGTCTTGGGACCTCACTGCATTAGGGGCAGATGGCCTCTTCCCAGAGGCCCTACCCCCCCAGCTCTGGGCTCCTCCACTGGTGAAGTCACTCTGGCTGCCTCTGCTTAAGTGATGGGCTGGCCTGATGCCTCCTCTCTTGGCTCCCAGGAATGGACAGGGAGGCAGGCTCCCAGCAGAAGGGGCTGGGAGCAGAGGAAGCCCTGACTCCTCTCCCATTCAGTTAAAGAGAAGAATGAGTCAAAGATCAGGGCAAGCTCTCAACAGAAAAGTTCGTGTGTAATAGTTGCTCTTATTAACTATGTTCATCCTTTTAGAGCCAGCTCAGCTCCCGTGAGCTTGACCAAGGCTCTTCCTTCACAAGCCTTGTTGACTAATCTGTCGAGGTTTTATGGTCTTCAGTGAAAAGCCAAGAACATTGGACTAAAGATCAGAGATTCTGGACTCAAATGTCAGCTCTACTACTCTGTGAGCCTGGGGAAGCCACTTGACCTCTTTGGGCCTCACTTTTCTCATCTGTCATCTGTTAAATGGATGTAGCCAGACCAACTAAAAGGGTATGTGCAAGGGGCATATGATATCCTGTATGTCTCAAAGCATTTTGTAGAACTTTAGAACATAGCATTTTTATTCAATATGAATTTGGAAAACAACTCCAAGATAGCCAAGATATCTATTTTTTCTAGATAAATAACAAAACACAGAAAACAAAAGGGAAGTGAGAAATGGAAAAACTGACTTGGCCTCTCTTTCAGAGTGGAGCTGTGACTTGGCTTCCTGTGCCTCCTACCACCTACCTCTTTTTTATGTTTAAACCTCTGAAACTCAGCATTTTGGCGTCTGAGAATGCTGTGGTCTGAATGTCTGTGCCTCCCCAAAATTCATATGCTGACAACCTACTCACCAAGGTGAGGAGAATTGGAAGTGACTTTGGGGGGTGATTAAGTCATTAGGGTGGAGCCCTCTTGAATGGGATTAGTGTCCCTTCTGCCATGGGAAGACTCAGCAAGAAGATATGATCTTCTGCAGAAGACGCCGTGCTGGCCACTGCCCACTCCTTAACCCTGGACTTCACAGCTCCAGGTCATGAGACCATGAGAAATAAAGTGTGTTGATTATAAGACTCGGGATTATGAAATTTTCGTTACAGCAGAGCAGCCTGAATATGCAAAGACCAACAATATGCTGCATTTTTCCTATGAAGACTGTGGCCAGTCTTTGCTGTGAAAAAATACTCTCTGGTAACTTTTCTGTGGGTCCTCATCACACAATTTGCCTCATGTTGTACTGCGATGAGGTCAGTGTTTTCTAATAATGAGAAATTCTCCATCTTCAAGGCCAGTAGCCAGTGCCCAGGGGCTACAGGAAGGACATGTTGGTTTCAGCTGGTGACAGTCCCATCCTACGGTAGCAGCTGGCTTGTCGTCTGAAGGAGCCAGGCTCAACAAAAAGAGAACTGTGAGCTCTTTGTGGGAGCCTTTGGGCTGCCCATGGCCTATGCTGAGCCCCACCTTTCTGACATGAGGCCTCCCCAGGGCTCCTTAAGCTTCTAGATTTTTCTCAGGATTCCTCTGTGTCTGGTGTTGAATATGGTAAGTTTATTTCCCACTTTGATTTCTTCAGCTTCCAGAAATACTTTAAAATTTTGGGCCTATTAGTTGTAATCTCTCCAGTTTTCTAAAATAGTTGTAGATTGATTCTGATTCATAGATATCTTCAAACATTTCTGTGGTATTTTGGAAATTAAGAGAACATAATGGATGGGCTCAATTCTTAATTTTAAAAGCACCTCTCTGGAGTTACTTAATCCTTTCTGAATTTGTAAGGAGCGCTCTTGGAACTGACAAGACAATATTTTGTGTAAATAGTCTCTAGAAAGTTTAAAAGAATATGATCTTTCTTTCCAGGGGACACAATATTACATGCCTCAACCTTATATTATTAAATCATTACTACTCTTGAATCCTTTGATTTTAGGGTTATTCACCTGAATAGCAATTAAAAGAAAACTCTGAGAATCTCTGAATTATATACGACTACCTCATTTACATGGATTTGTATTTAAGAGTAAATCTATTTATATACAGTAGCTGTAACATTTGATATTCTATTATTTTGATTTTTAAATTTTATTTCCCTTCATTCCTACTTTATATGCATTGTGTTTACTACCTTCCTTGTTATAAAAATATTTGGGTGGACATATTCCATTTTTGCTGTTAGTGGCAGCCTTTAAGTTGTTCAGATGGATCTTTGATCATTTTTCTCTATTACTATAAATAATAGTATCAAACTTTCCCATGTGTATAAAGGAAAATGTCTTGAATTTGTCTCTTACCTCATTAAATTGATTTTCTGTGGTATCCTACCTGCTGTTCATATGAGAGTCTTTAATTAACCAATTGTGTTTTCTCTCCATTCAGTCTCCCCTTATCTCAGATGCTTTCTTTCTCCTCGTGCTTGGTTTAGCTTTTGGATTTAATGTCTTGTTGGATATTATTGAAAAAGCAAATCGGAAAGTTCCCCAAGCTGCCTCTGTTTTGTAATTCTATACAGCAAGAGAGGTCTCTCCCCCGCTCCCTCTGCTTCTCTCATCTTTGTGGTACTGGGAATGGAACCCAGGGCCTTGCATTAAGCTACATCCCAAACATTTTTTTTGTTTTTGAGACACAGTCTCACTAACTCACTGAATTGCCCAGGCTGTGCTTAAACTTGTGATCCTTCTGCCTCAGCCTCCCAGAGTGTTGGGATGACAGGCCTGCTTTCTGTGGCCCTTCATTTGATTGCTTTCTTCAGACATATAGAAGCTCCTCACATGAATAGGCTCTTTCTGCTCATCTATCAAGAAGCCTGGTGAGAACAAAATGAAAACAAGCTGGGTATTTTGGATATATTATTAATGAGAAAGTCATATTGATATTTGCCATTAAAATCCTGTTATACTGGAAGGTTCTGAAATAACTTTTGAATTATCAAAAAAAAAAGCAAAGTGTAATTCTCTTCCTGTGTATGTGCATTTAGGTTTTGTTCAATTCTCTGAAATCTGGGGAGCATGTATTTGTTCCATTCATAAACTCAAGGAATTCTTGGACTTCCAGAGGTCTTCAGGGCAATAGTCAGAAGGAGCTGGTTTGGGTTGGCTCAAGGCATCTCTCCCCAAATATGCATTCAGGAATGTCAAATTGGTAACTCAAAATCAGATACCATGAGGGTATTTACACCATGGCAATTGGCAGACACTTCAAATCAGGACGCACCTTTTTAAAGCTGGTTGCTAAACACTTCCCAGAAACCATTGCTTTAGGGACCATGTAATTGATGAAGAAGCTGGGGCTGGGAGAAGCAAAGTCAATGGCCTGAGGTCCCATGAAAGCTTAAGGAAAGAGTTGGTGGGACAGGCAGGTCTCCTGCCTCACCCCACCTCCACCTGTCCCAGCAAGGACAGCACAACTCAATCTTCCTGGTGCCAAAGTGTGTTTGCTGCAATTAGGAGCGGGGAAAACCTCACTTCTAGAGGCTAGAAAAAAATGAACAGGGGGCCCATAAACATTATGTTGTTTTATGTGAGTGTGTCTTGAGACTCAAAGTGGTGAGTAAAGACAATTAATCTACATGTGAAACTAAGCATTTCTCAGATAATTGTTTTAAAAAAGCAGCTTAAATCCTTGTATTAGACAACACAATATTCTTACCATTTGTGCAATGATTTGTTAATTAAATTGCTGCTAAAACAATATTTATTTTTCCCCTTAAAATCAGCTGAATATCAATCTACAATCAATACAGTGTTGCCTGGAGGCACCTCTTGCTTCAAATTTGCTTCACAAATCTGCTGCAGGTAATTTATACCCAGTCAATAAGACATGTTTCAAAAGCCACTTTTCCCTCCCAACAGGCAACCCTGGTCTAATTTACAATTGTATAAGAACTGGCAAACTATACACACCTGAGTTAAATATAATTTGTAATAGGATTTTTTTAAAAAGCAGTAGTGAAAGATTTGATTTTTGTCTGTTCGGTATGCAAGTAATCTTTGGCTATTTCTGGAACGGTAACTGGAAAACATAAATTGCTTTGTTTCCCTTTCAGGCATAATTTTTAGTTGTTGTTCTTTAGGCAGGGAGGGGGAGGAACTTCAGGGACAGTGAACAGAATGATTGCTGTCTCTGGTACACGTTTGCAGAGTCCATGAGTAATAAGTGGAGAAGGCATTATTATTGCTTGGGTTTATTTTTTTTAAGTAAAGGAATTTTTGAAAATTCCAAGACAGATCTTTCCCTTGTTCCATTATATTTTGGAGGAGGCAAAGGCAAAGCAGAAACTGTTAAGGTTTGGCTGAAGGAAATATTTACAAATTAATCCCAGGGCTTGAAATCTCAACAAGGATTGCAATCTATAATTAGTGTTAGAAACTGTAATTAACTTATTAGGAAGGCCCGTGCAGCGTGGGCCCCTCTTCCACCGTGGGTAGGCACCGTCATTAGAAACCCTCTCTAGGAACCGGGGCTCTCGGCGCTTCCCTCCATTTCATTCCACCAGCTGCCAATTTGATTGGTTAAGTAGTTTGCACTGTGCGATCCTCTCTTTTTCTTTTGGATTGATGTGTTTATTACTTTTTGTGACAGTGGCTCCCAAGGCAGATGTTCAATAAAGGGAGAAAAAAATCTGATACAGACCCAAGTCAAGAGAGAAGTGGTGGAGATTGCAGAAAATTGGGAAAGTTATCATAAGCATGGAGCTGTTATTGGAGATTTTGCTCCCAGCGTTTGTAACTATTGTGTTATTTACTCTTCCGAGGACGGAAAGCTAGCAAGGAATTATTGCAAACTGAGTTTCCTGAGTTTTAAATTACACTCGTTTTGCGCACATCGTGGCAGCAGCCCATCAAAGGGAAAGCCAAATTGGAGCTCTCAGCAACGGGCACTCTTTCGAGTCTCTGTCTCTCACTATCTCTGTCTCTTTTTTTCCCCCAGAATGAGGAGAATGGATTTAGCTGCCTAATAATGAGGTGATGCTTATTTAGAAGCACCTGGGGGCAGGGTTGGGCTCTGGCATAACTGTCACCATGTAGCACATCTTCAGGGTTCCTTGGGCCCCAAAGATGACTGGGGAGTGATCTATTCCTCTGCTGGGACCTGGTGACAAATCCATGCAAATCGTCTTCCTCTAAAGTCCCATCTCTGCCTTTCATACCTTTGTCTTTTCTACCCCTGATGTAACTGAGATAGGTTGAACCAGCATTTCCTCTAAATGGGCCTCAAGGACAGCCAGCCAGGATTCCCAAACCTCCTCACTTCCTGTCTGGGCACCTGCCTCCCAAGTCACCCAAAGGCCATTTACATCAGTTTATGTCCTTCACTCCCCCTTTAGCTTCCTTCTCCAACACAACTCAGAAAGCTCTTAAATCTATAAAACTACTCTACCACTGGACAACATGACCTCAGCCTGGTGGCTGACTGCAGTTTGGAATTTTAGGTCCAAATCAATAGATTTTCAGAGCAATTCTCTCTGTTGACATTTCCTACCATGTATCTGCTCACCAAATCTTTGAGAAGGCCCAAAGTGAGAAAACCCACTTAGCTTTGACATTATGGTGTTTCCCAAGTTTATGTGGTTATTTAATCATTCTGCATAGATTTGTTGAATACACTATGTGGTAGTCTTCATGCTAGTATCTAGGAAGACAATGTATACAAGAAAGATATCCTGATTCCCTTCTCTAAAAGAACTCTTTCCTGTCTCCAAGATATAAATCTGTGCAAACCTACTGTTTTAGACTTCTCACTCAGATAAATTAAGTCAAAGAAGTGGTTTAATAGAGGCCTTTCAGTGCCCTTAGATCCATACCTATCTGAGTACGGCTTACAAAAAGACCCAGCCCCAAGATCAAGGGAAGCTTGTAATGGTTGAGGAGAACATAACACACTGGATGGTGCAGGTTGTAGGATCGCCCAACACCCACTTTCCTCCAAGCCACCTGACCTGACCAGAGTACTGCAGCCTCTTCATTGCGTCCTTCAATAGGGACTAGGGAACAGGAGCTTGGACTGGTAGGCAAGACAGTCACATCCTGACATTATGGCTCCCATTCTTTCTGGGTGAGCTGGGACACATACAGCCCAGCAGGATAGTCTGCATAAGTTTAGATATTTATCACAGACTGAAGAATGATCTTGGAAATTTAGAGCAGGGGCTATTGTCTTTCCTCCTGAAAACATGCAATAATTTGAGACTTCAGAAAGAGGTCAAACACAGCAAACCATGGGGACTATCAGTGTTTCCCCCACTTAAAACTGACAGATTAAAATCACCATCAGTACCAGTCCTGATATGTACTTCTTTTTCTGTCCAAAGTGGCTTTGTAGTTAGAGAAAGGTGACCTATGAGAAGGTAACATGGCTGGGCATGTGCACATGAGTGAAATTTAAAATGTAGCTATGACATAGCAAGAATACCGAGTACTTAACAATCACATTCCTTAAAGACAATTCACTTATCACTGTCCCTCTTGTCTTCTCTTTGGGTAGCCCCTTCTGCTTTAGGAGCATTGGGAGCCCTCCAGTGTCACAAGAGCCATTTGAAGATAAGACCCTTCTTGTTAGTAGAAGTCTGAGTGTCTGGTCTGGGAGGTTGCAGTGGTGTGATTGTGTCACCCCAAAATTCATATGTTGAACCCCTAACCCCCAGCACCTCAAAATGTAATTGCATTTAAAGGGAACATCTATACCAAATATAAAATGAAGTCTTGGGGTGGGCCCTAATACAATATCATTGATGTTCTTATTTAAGAAAGGAAATTTAGACAGCAGACTGTGTGTGTACATAGAAAAAAGATCATGTGAGAACCTGATAAGAAGACAGCCATCTACAAGTTAGGTGAGAGGCCTCTGCTGTAGTTTGGATCTCAAATGTCCCCAAAGATCTATTGCCAAAGGCTTGGTTCCCAGCCTGTGGTGCTCTTAGGAGACGGTGGAACCTTTAAGAGGTGGGGCCTAATGCAAGGAAGTTAGGTCACTGGGAGCATGTCCTCAAAGGAGATCAAGGGATCTGATCATTTCCTCTTTCTCTCTCTCTCTTTATTTCTCCCTCCTGTCCAAATGGTAAGTGACTTGCCCAACCCGATGCTCTCTTCCATGATACAGTGCCTTGCCCCGAAGCACTGGGGAATTGAACCTAAAAGCAACTGGGCCAAACAAACCATGGACTCAAACCTCCAAAACTGTGAGCCAAAACAACCTTTCCTCTTTTGAAGTTAATTGTCTCGTGTATTTGTTGCAGTGACAGAAAGCTAAGACAGCTGCAGAAAAAGCCAACCCTGCTGATTCCTTCATCTTGGACTTGCAGCCTCCAGAACTGTGAGCAAATGAACATCTGTTGTTTAAGCCACCCAGTCTGTGGTACTGTGTTATGGCAGCCCCAGCAATCTAATGCAGAGGGGAAAGTGGGTTTGGGTGCAGAAAAAATTATATTTAAACATCAAATTGCTTCTAGAAAAAGCCAAAGTATAAACCATGATAAAGGAGAGAGAAGAGAAGGAAGGGGCTTGGCAAGGATCCGGCAGTGGAATGGGACAGACTTTCAACACCTTGCCATGCGATCTTTCCCCACAAACTCCTGTGTGACCCACATATGAATTCTCACTGAGAGACACAGACTGAAAGAGGCTTGGCCTGAAGAATTTGCCAGAGGGCACAGGGAGCATGGCTTATTTCTTGGGAGATGACAACAGGTCAATTTGATCCTACACTGTAGAATTTTCTCCAGATGAAAAGTGAGTTTTTGAACCTGCTAATAGCAGCACCATGGAATGTTTTCAGTTATTTTCAATCTCCATGTTTGACTACTTTAGACCTAGAAACATCAGTGCTGGTTCCAGTTGGAAAGAAATAATGGAAGAGAGATGTGAAGATGCCCAGGTACTTGTTACAAATAAATTAAAAATAAAAAAGAAACTGTCATGTGGCCAGATGATCAACAATATAATGGGTATTTGATTGAAGCTAGAAATACTCTAAATAGAACTGAAGATTGCCCTTTAAAAATTGAAAACAAAAACAAACCAAACCTCTCTCAGATGTCTGCATCACATAAACCTAATAAGACAGAGTAAAAAATATTGGATTTATTTTTACAAGTTAGCTGTGACCTTCTCAACCTTCTGAATGGATTCACTTGGCACGGTTCCTCTTAAGGGCCTTAGGGTTATGACTAACTCATAAAAATAAATCCAATATTTCCCCCTTAGCCATGTCATAGCCAATGTAGGAATTCAGATGATAGGGCCAGGGAGGTGGGTTTTCATTTCGCTTGACCTCTCCTTATGAGGGATGCAGAGCCCTCAGCCTTGGCAGAGCCTCCAGCTCCCAGGCCCTCCCGGGAACCTGTGTACAAAGGGAGAGAAACAAGGAACCTGTGTCAGGGTCAAGTCCAGGACAAGGCTTGATGGAGACACCATGGCCAGATGCAGGGGCTGTGGTGGGCTTGGGGAGAGAGACAGGCTTTGGGGAGCGGGAGGTGGGTAACCAAGGCGGTCTGAGAAGAAAAGCCTTCCCTTTGAAGAAGTGAGAGGGAGCCAGCCTCTGTAGGGCTGTCTAGGTCAGGACTTCATTAGGCAAGACATGCCACCTGGGTCACAGGCAGCCTCCATTCTTGTCACTCCCAGGGACCTCAGAGTCCTTGAACAAATGTCTCCTGGTTACGCACTGCAGGCCGGGAACCTGAGAGCACTGAATGTGTAGGTGGACAAAGTCAGATGTGGTCCCTGTCCCCAAGAGTCCTGTGAGCTAATGCAGGATTCAGGCCCTATCCAAACAGGCGCAGTAATCCCTGTGTAATCAAAAGCTGAGATATGTCACATGGAGAGGATCCTGACTAGGTGGATGGGGGAAGGAGGGACAGTCCCAGGAGACTTCTCTGAGGAAGTGACCTGGAACTGAGCAGTAGCTGGGTGCTAATTAGTGAAAGGAGTGGAGGAGAGACTTCCAGCAGTAGGCACTGGTCTCTCTGAGGCTCCCTGAGAGTGGCTGTGACACAGAAGACATTTGTCAGGCCGTACACTTAGGATCACCACCCAGGGAAAGGGAGAAAAGGAGAAGGAAGGCAGACAGAGAAAAGGCTGAACTCTGGTGTAGGCCCACTGAAGGCCTCAGCCAATCCTGGGGAGCCCCTTGGACCAGCCCTGAGCTGAATAAGGGTACTGGGCCTTTAGACACCATGCTGCCTGGTCACCAAGTACAGGACACTCTGAGAGGGTGTGAGCCATAGACAAGGTGGCTTTCTCCAGTCCAGGCAATTCTTGAAGAGGGTGGAGAGTGAGGGCTATCAGCCACCAGGTTGGGGTGGCTCATCATAGCATCCTCTGCGTGGTACAAAGGTCTCTTGTAGGAAGAAGCAATGGCAAAAGGCCATGGGCAGGGGGTGGAGGACCCCAGATCAATGGGCCTGGAGTGTGCAGCACTAGGGGCCAGCAGGATGTCACTTCAGAAGACAGGAGAAGACTCTGGCTCTCTGTGCAGCAAGGACAGAGAGCCCGGACTGTGGACAGCACTAAATGGTGCCCACTGTGGAGAAAGAAGCACGAGAAAGACTCCAATACTTCAGCAGCTTGTACTGTCCTGAGGGAGACCACATGGGCATGTGCGCACGTGTGCGTGCACACGCACACACACACGCGCGCGCGCGCCTCCAAGAAGCTAAACCAGGGAGATATGTCCTCAAGCATTTGGGAATTGGGTGAGTTGCTGTCTGTTCTCATCCTTGTCTATAATTCCTCTTGTCCTATCCCTCTTAAATCCATTCCAGATAGGCCAATCTGTGGAAACTGCTCTCACCAGAGACCAGATGACCTTCAGACTGCTAAATCCAGTTCTCAGCCCTCAGCTTCCATGACCTGTCATGCACGCGTCCCTGCACATACTGGGCTACTTCCTCTGCCCAGCACACCTGCCTCCTGGTTCCTGACCCTGTACTCCTGCTCCTCTTGCTACCTGGTGGGTCACTCTTCCTCAGCATCTCTCACTGGCTCCCTCCCCACCTCTTCAGGTTGGAGTCCCCGGGGTTCACTCCTGGGGCCTCTTTTCTTTTCCCTCCTCATTCTCCGCCTGGATGATCACATCCTTTCCTGTTGCTTTGAATTCCATCTATATGCTGATGACTCATCCATGTGTGTCTTCTGCAAGCTCACTCCCAAACTCCAGGCTCATATCAGTGGCGACTCTGTGCCACCATGTAGAAGTCTAATCAACCTCAGCAGGTCCTGAATTGACTCTGGATCTCCCTACTCTGCCAACCTTGCTTCCATCCCTGGTAGCTCCATCCTTCTGGTTACTCAGGTCATAAACCTTTGTGTGATGCTCGATTCCTTCCTTCTCATTGCCCGCTTTCAATTCCTCAGGAAATATGTTGGCTCTCTTCTCAAACTATATTCAGCAACCAATCACAGCTCAGCGTCTCCACTGAGCCCATCCTCCACTGAGCCCTGGCCATCTCTCACCTTGACAACTGCAGAGCCTTTGAATGGGTCTCTGTGCTTCTGCCTTTGTCCCCTCCCCTTGGGCTCTGCTCCTAACACAGCATCCTGATCACGATTTTCTGCTTAGGACTTTAGTGGCTCCCCCTTTCACTCAGGGTAAAATGGTGAAGGTGTAGAATGGCCTGTGAGGCCCAATGTGACCTGCCCTGTTTCCACTCTGACCTTTCTTCTGTTGCCCTCCAATCATGTGTTCTGCTTCTGTGATGCAGGCCTCCTCATTGTTCCTCCTGCCCACCTCATGGCCTTTGTACCTCTGTTCACTCCTCCTGGTACTTTCTTCCCCTGATTTGCCTCTTGGACAAGGCTCCTGCCTTCTTTAAGATGTTCTCCCAGCCTCCCCTACTTATGGTCTTCTGTGATGATTAATCTTGATTGTCAACTAGATTAGATTGAGAGATGCCTAGGAAATTAGTAAAAGCACACTTCTGGATGTGGCTGAGTGAGTCATGGAGGTGTGAGTTTCTGGCTATAACTGGCCTCTGGCCGCTTCCTCTTTGGCTCACCCCCTGCTCTCTGCTTTGTTCCTCCTCGCCCTTCTGTCATGCTGTTCCTGCCTTGGACCCAGCCTATCATGGACTGAACCCTCTGAAACCATGAACAGAAACAAATTTCTCCTCCTTTAAGTTGCAGGTGTTGGATATTTTGTCCAGCAATACACTTATACTTACCTTGACCACCACACCTAGCACTGTGCTTTATCCCTCCCTCTCTTCTGCTGGCCTCTCTGATTATATTCACTTCTCCTTTTTTTCAAAGCGTTAATCACTTTTTAGCACTTTATTATGTTCTCAGTTGCTGTCTTTGCTGTACACTCCAGTGTCTCACTAGCAGTTTGGCTAAGTGGGTGTCTTCATTCACTGATGTAGCCCAGTGCCTAGAACATTGTCTGGCACATAGTAGGCGCTCAGTGAATGTTTGTTGGAGCTGATTATGTAGATCAGTGGTAGAGCCCTTGCCTGGCATGTGCGAGGCCCTGGTTTCCACACTCAGTACCACAAAAATACAGTGAAATAAATGTTTGTTGAATGAGTGCTGAAATCCAGCCTGACCTGTTTATAACCTGTTCTCCCTTTGTGGCAAGCAGCCAAAAGTCAAGGTCTCCACCTCCTCTGGAGCATGGGCCTCGGTAACTAGATTTTTAAGTGTTATTATGGCAAAATACGCATAACATGAAATTTACCTTTGCACTATTTTTAGGCATGCAATTCATTGGCAGTAAGTACATACCCAAAATGGCATAACTGTCACTGCTACCCTTTCAGAAATTTTTATCTTCACAAAACTCTGTCCGCATTAAACGCTATCTCCCCATTCCCCCTCGCCCCAGCCCAGTAGCCTCTACTCTACTTCCTGTCTGGATTTTCCTGCTCTAGGGAGACTCACTTCTAATGAATAAAGTACCACAAAGCACAGGCTGTCACTTCCAGTGTTAGGCTGTAAAAGAAGGTAGCTTCTGCCATGCTGTGCTCTGAGGGAAACCAGCTTCCTTCCTTCCTAGGAGCTGCCCTGTGAAAGGCCCACAGCACCAGGCACAGCAACCCTGGTGAGGGCCTGAGCACTGTCAGCAGCCTCCTGAGTGAGTGTGGAAGCCACTCCTCTGGAAATGGGACTTCAGGCCCAGCTGACCCCCGAGTGTGGCCTGGTAAGAGATGCTGAGCCAGAGGACCCGGCTGGCCTGCAGAAATGACATGATACGTCTTTGCTGTTGTAAGTCTAGATTGTGGGTACTTTACACAGTAATGGATAAAGACTATGCCTTTGTTCCTTGAATTTAGTTAAAGTACAGGATTCCAAGGCTCAGGCTCCTTCTTCCTCAATGGCCTGGCTGCCTTCTAATGTGAGGGTATATCTGAGCTGCATCGTACCCGCTTTGTTTTTGTACTAACATCATTCTGGACTCATGGAGCACTTGAAGTATCTTTGCTCCCTTCCATAGGAGGGTTATTTACCCTTGGACTAATCTTTCACCGAGGCCAGAGAACAGAGAATGGAGGGACCCACATGCTGTCCTCCTAGGTGGACCTGCTGCCTCCCGTCTCTTCTCTGGGTGCATGGTGGTGTTGGGATTCAGCAGGGCTCAGGGGCCATGTGTCAATCAGCACTTTACATGGGCCCAAGGAGATGTTGACTGTACCTGACAAAGAATGGGGGCACTGTTGGGGTGTGGTTGCCTAAGAAGACGTCTCTCACCTTGCTTTTTAGCCACCACTAGAATCCAGATCCCATCAGGGCACAGATGCCCCTCCTGCCTGCCCAGTAGGGAAGAGAGAGCCCAGCTATCTCTCTGGATTCTCCTTGTCTTCAGCGCTATGGGTTCTATCTCCTCCACCCCCAGGTGTGGTAGACATATGTCACAGGGCCCTTCCTTGGGGAAGATGTGGCAAATCCCCAGCACTATCTTATATAGTAATACTGGCTTTTATTTGTCCCCAGACAACCTCTTTCAAACTTTGGAGTGCTGGGGGGGGGGGACCTATGGTGACTGATGACCCCAAAGTAGGGGTCTTTCATCTAACAGAAGCCCTTTGACCTCTGGGCTTTCCCTGAATCTTTGCCTGTTCTATCGATGGCTACCCCGATAGTTAACATCTTTCTAATTATAAAAATAAACATTTTTGTTTTGGTAGATCTTTAAATAATTGAGGGTTGTGTGAACCATGAAAATGAATGTTGATGTCTCTCTTAGGGGAGATGATAAGAATTTCATGCATTGTGCAT